TAATTACATCAATAATAATAATGAGTCATAAGTTAAACCACGAAAACTTTTGTTGCTATATTCCATGAGCTCTCAATGTCCTTTCTTCTTTTTTCCAGTCATTGGCTACTAATATTACATACAGATTCGTTACTCTGCTTTTTATTATACCTGTTACTATAATTGACTGCTTAATTATTTATCAGATAAAAAAAATAGCTATCAAAATTAGAAATCGAGACATTTCAAGGGATGGGTCCGAGCGGATGGGAGAGATATAGCAGCATGAATGCCGGTACGTTTCATTGGCTCGAACAGCTTGATTGATTGGAGCGTCACAATTGACAGTGGACCTCTTGCCAACATCAAGTATTTTTATTAACCCTGACCCTAACCCTAACCCTAACCAGTTAACCTGTATTCTTGCAAGTGAATTCTCTTTATATATGAACCTGTATTCTTTCAAGTGAATTCTTTTTATATATGAACGATAAGTCATTTAATTTGGGATCCATTTTTGTTCCACTAAACATAAACATTAAGTATTACTTTAAAATGTATGAGTTTTTTACTTTGTAAGATTATGTTATTTATTCTCTCACGTATTATTATGAATGAGCAGTGAAAAAAATTATATTTTTGTAATCTAAACTTAATTAAAAATCAATTAATTTTAATTTCTTATATACCCATGGGATTTAAAGAAGAGGAACCGAAATGAAAAAAATATCAAACATGAACAGCATGATATAAGTTTTGTAAAAAAACATATAGATTATTGAACTTTAAAAATCACGTAAATTATACAATTTTAGTAGTTTAATATTTTTCCAATTCAATTTTAGTATAAACAATTATTTTTGTTATTTTTTAGTCTGTGGTTGTAAGGGGGAGAGATAGGTCGCTAAATTTTGACAATAGAGAGAAAAAAGTGTCCTTGACATCGATTTAAACCACCAAAATAGACTATATTTGTGTAAAATAGTTTCATTTGATGAAAGAAGTTTATATTATGTGTTTTTGTACTTTTAAAATTCATAAAAAATATTTAAATTTGGGTTGATTTTGTTTTTTAAAGAAATTTTTTAAGGCTATAAATAGATTTATCACAGTTTATACAATGTTTTATAAGTATTTTAGGCTAAAAATAGATTATAAACAGGTTTTTGGGTAAAAACACTTAATCCCTAGTTTTCTAGACACTACAATGGCTAAAATGTAGGCATTACAAAATGGCCTATGTTTCTTTTTTTTTTCTCTCTAATTTTTTTTGTTTAAATTAATGATTTTTATGGGTTTTTTTCTATTTTTTTTTAATTTATATTTAAATCAGTATCCTTTCACTCTTTTATTTTATTTCGGGGAATCTCTTTTCAATGATGACTATTTTTTTTAGTTATGTATTTAATTTTGAAGAGTTTTTTTTTCTATTTTATATGGATGAACTTTATTTTTGAAAAAAATAAATAATATTGTTAATATATAAAGCATTGCGTGATGATTTTTTTTCTTTTATTTTGTTTAATAAATTTAATTCGTGTTTCTATTTCTATCATCGTTTTCTTAAATAAAAAATATTTTAATAAATAAATTTAACAAACACAATCGAGCAAATATCCTGTCTTTTGAGATGAAATATATTTTTTTTTATCTATATCTATCTTTTAATTTTCAAGTTTTTTAAGGTATCATCAATGACTTTTTATTTATTTATTTGCATACATAGTTATTGATTTTTGTGATTACATACATGCATAAAAAAAATTATTTGACATTAGATTTTTTAAACTACTCGTTGATTTTCCCTTTTTTTTCTTATTTCTTTCCACTCCCCCCCCTTTTTTTCCCTTTCTATTTTCATTTTTTTAAAATTTCATCAAGTAAATCAATATCCACTTAATTTTTAATTTATTTTTATAATTTTTTTGTTTTTCTTTGAAGAGAACCCAGACTAGTAAAATATATCGGTATTCTAATATTAAAAAAATATTATCTTGATTTTTTTAATTTTCAAACCACATTTTTTACTAGTTAATTATGTTGAATTTAAACATGCTAAATTGATTGAGAAAAACTGAGTTAACACTTACTTGATTTAATTTTAAACTTAAATCAAGCTCAAAGTTGAATAAAAAAATTTCAAGATTGACTTGATGACCAGAATTTAACAACAAGAATAAATAATTTTTTTTATTTCTTAAACATAATTTTTATATTCAAAAAGAATTTTTAAAACATTGTATTTTATTTAAAAAATGAATCTCATTGTAAACTCATTTTACTTTTTAGTATTTGAATAGGGAAAATATTTTATTTTTTATATTTTTTTAAAAATAAAATCAGTTATTTTTTAATGGATTTCATGCTTTCTTTTAAAAATAAAATCTATAATACTAGTGGAACTTAGAGAGAGAGGGGGGGAAACAAACAGCTACAAGTAGTCAGACATGAAAGACAACAGCTCTTGAACCAAGAGCTGATGCCGACTTCCTAAAGGTCATTTACTCATTCCATTTCCTTTCTCTTTTACTTGGACAAAAGAGAATTGCACACACGTGCATCACATAGTAGTTAGTATTTAACATGATCTAAATCACCAACCTACAAAGTAATTCTCAACGGGGTCCTCTAGTATATTTTTCCCAGATGGGTCTCTATTTTATTACAAATTATTGACCAAAAAATCAATTTCTCTTAAAATAAAGCATTATTCATTCACAAAATAGGTCAGAAGCATGGAAAAACATGGACAAATCTAGATGTAATGCTTAACTGAGAATTTCCATGGAGACTTAACTGAAAATGTAGTTTTTGAAGGACCTACTTGAGAACTGTCCAAGACTCTGGGGCCTATATAGTTTTGACATGAACACCACAACTCGCCATTATCCATGCATGGAATTGGCGGTGAGGATCATTGATCAAAGAGCTGATCAAGGGACAAGGGCGGTGACTTATTCATGGGTTTAAAACTGTGCTTGATCGGGGCTTCGAGCTTCAGATCTCAAAAACAGATGGAGACATTTACTTGGGTGAATACATGCTAATTAATTACTAGCATTCAATCTGGGCATATTTTTCAGATGGCAAGAGCTCTGCTACCTTTAAAACAAAAGTACTATGAAACAGTCTCTTTCCATGTGAATCTTTTACTGAATGTAGAAAACGTACACAAACCATTCAAGCTGTTAATATCTATACGCTATTCCATGGCTTTTTTTTCCATAATGGTCGGAGATTTAATTAAATGGTCACCAGAAAAGAAGAAAAAGTAAAAGCAAAATAAAGAAGAGTGAAGGCTCCTCTTACTCCTATCACAAACACAAAAACGACATCAACATAGCCTTGAGAAACAATTTATAAGATATAAAATCCCCACAAACTCAGAACATGGTTGATCCATAAACAGATGCAACAACAACCCTAAAAATTCACCTCCTCCACAGTCAATTCCATGGCTTTGAACATGCTATTTACTTCTCCATGTCAAATTTATTCATGATAGGGTAAGTAGTTGATTTTGGTTATGATTTTTTATTATGTGTATGTTGGTATTGTAGTATAAGATACTTTTCAAAAGAATTTTTAATTTTAAAATACATCAAAATATTTTTTTATTTTGACATCAACTTATGAAAATCATTAAAAAATACAAAAAATACATTAATTTGATTTTTTTGATGAAACATGTGTTTAAAACTTATCTAAAAATAAAAGTTATTGTACTTTCAAACACCCATTATGTTTATAATATGTACTCATAAAGGTCATAAAGGTATAAAAAGACCATCCCAAATCTATTTAGTAATTGAGTAAATAAATTCAAAATGATGAAGCTCAAATTAAAGTTTCAAAATAAATCTTTTGTATTTTTTTTATTTTTCTTAAACAGTATTTTCACAAAGAATAAAGAAAAGCTAAAAGTATTCATATTGCATGAAAATATTAATAATTTTAATTATTTTTGTTTTGTCATTTTAACATTAAAAATACTTTAACAACTTTTAACGGAATATTTATGAAAGAGTTATGGCTGCAATCATAGTTGAAACCAGCAACTCATCCAATTGAAGGAAAAAAAAATCATTAGTAACTACACAAAAGGCAAGAAATGCTGGTAAAATGCGTTTCTTTTTCATAGCTATCAAAAAAAGAAAAAAAAGGGCTGAATATTATCCAAAGTTATCGGTATATGCACGGAAAAAGTGAAAATCAATCAAGGAGAGACCATAGCTGTGAAGAGTTACGAAGCGATGTACGGATCAGATGCTTAGCAATTGGTTTTCTGGCTAGCTATAAACCCTAATCATTGCTTGAACGCACAATTATGATCAGTAAAGGCTACGAGGAAACTATTCACTACAAATCTACATACGTTAAGAATGTTTCAGATTTTAATGTATGTATTTCTAAAATTCTAAAAATATATAAATATGTTTATATGTTATGATGCTAAATATATGACAATAATTCCTGCATTATCTAGGTTCTCTGCCACCATGATTTTTCTCTCCTTGGAGGTTGCATTTTTCCCTGGAGAGATTCTAAAGCAAGAGTTTCTGTAAGATTGGAGGAAGAAGGACAGTAATTTCCGTACATGTAGCAGGATTTAGGAGAGAAATTTGCTAAAAAGTGGAATTCTCCACTGTTTTGAGTGGTCAGAAGTGCGGACGCCTAGTGTGATGGTGTTAGACAAGGGTGTTTGTCAAGTTAGAGGTGCTTGTCGTTGATCAGGCAATGAACAGGAAGCTGGTTTGCCATTTTCTCTTCAAACTTTTCAGAGGGTATTCTGGTCACTTAAATTAAAGGAACTGTCATTCAAGACTACAGTCTCAAGAAACAAAATCATGTTTTTCCCTTCAATTTTTACCCTCAAACCTTTTCCTGTCTCCATCCCAACCTACTCTACCCAACCCTTCGCCATTTCCTACAAGCCCTAACACATACAGCTCTCTCACTCTTTACATCGTCATCGACCAATAAGAGTCGAGTTGCTCCACCTTTTTAAGATTAAAAAGAAGAGGAAAAAACAATCACTATGCATTTTCCATACCCAAAAACAAAAAAGCAAAAATCATAACCTTAATTCAAGCTTTTCTAGTATTTTTCAGCATTATCAAGAGAAAGAATCCTTCCATCCCTTCTCTTCCATCATCAGTCTTATCATCCTTTGTTACCACTATTTCCAGCTCCACGCCTCTCTCTCTCCCATCAAAAATGGAAATCATGTAATACCAACCAATGATTACAGCTTCTTTTGTTTCATGAGTCACTTCTTCCTTCTTGGGTCTAGCTAGTATTTCCCATCAGCAGCAAAAACATAGGACTATCCACTCTTTTGTAGGACTATAAGCAACCAAGTTTAGGTTTTTGTTTTCGGGAGAGGCAAACCCTAGAGAAAAATAAGTGAGTGGAGTGATTGTAAGGACAGGAAATAGGAAGAGGAGAGGCCACCGCCACCGCCACTTCCAGCACCAACATCATAACCGAAACCATCTGATAGATCGAAATAACTCAAACAACACTCTCCATGAATTCAATCCCAGAAATGGAGAGCTCCAACTCTGAAAACATAAGTTTCAACAACATAGGCAACAGCCCCACTGCCATGTCAGTCTCAAACTCTTCATCACCGTCCTCCTCCACCGCTCCAAGTCGCTATGAGAATCAAAAGCGCCGAGACTGGAACACCTTTGGTCAATACCTGAAGAACCACAGGCCCCCTCTTTCTCTCTCCAGGTGCAGTGGTGCTCATGTCCTTGAATTCCTTCGCTACCTTGACCAATTTGGCAAAACCAAAGTACACACTCCAATCTGTCCTTTTTATGGCCACCCAAACCCACCTGCCCCTTGCCCCTGCCCACTCCGCCAGGCCTGGGGTAGCCTTGATGCGCTTATCGGACGCCTCCGAGCAGCCTTCGAGGAAAATGGAGGCAAGCCCGAAGCAAACCCTTTTGGTGCTCGTGCTGTTAGGCTTTATCTACGTGAGGTTCGTGATTTGCAGTCTAAAGCAAGAGGGGTTAGCTATGAGAAAAAGAAGCGTAAGCGTCCACCACAGCAACAAATCCAATCCCTGCCACTGCCACTTCCACCACCTCCAGGTGCAGCTTAACACAAAGAAACAAAGAGTTCCCTTTATCAAGCAGTTTACAATACTACTACTCTTTATTGTTCTTATTTTTTTCTCTACCCGTATTTTTGGTTATTTTGTTTTAGTATGTATGAGTTATATGGCATTTTAGTATTTAGGGTTAGCCTCTCTCTCTCTCTCTCTCTCTCTCTCTCGGGTATTTCTCTGTTTGCTTTGGATATATGGAAACGATGGCTAGCTAGATCTGCAGAGACCACGAATCTACTTTCGATCCCAACAACGGTAGTAATATTACTAGCAGTGGGACTAGCAGTAGCGGTAATAGAAAAGTGGTGGTAGAAGTGATTGTACTTGCATTTATGGTCTATGTTGGAACTGAGAGTGCTCATAAATTAATGTAATATTCATGTATGCCAAGCCATAGATGTGCAGATAATGATGTTCTTCCTCTCCCTTTCTCCTTTGGACACTAGCGCTTCTTATCAAATTCTCTGAAATTCAGTCACATAGTGGTTAAAGCTTGAAAGACATTACATAAGAATCATATGTCAGATGTCTAGCACTACTACTGTTGTTTTAATGGTTGGGTTGCAGATGCTTGGTCAGTTTTTCATTTCCTCTGCTGAGTCTCTGACTTAACTTTTGCCCTATTGCCCTGCTACTTTAACTGCCTTGCTGTCTAGAAAAACCATAGGAAATTGACATAAAGATGAAGAGTATATGTTGATTTTTAAAGATTATTCTTTTAATTTAGTGCCATGAAAGATTGATATCAAGGCATAAACTTGGGTGTTGATATATAAATATATAGCTATGTAGCCTCTTAGGATACTTTTCTTATCACACTCTTGCAGATGCAGTGCTTGTGTCCCAATGAATTGATTTAATATTCAGAAACTTGTGCTGTTTCATTTAGTGTTGTCATTTCATCAGTCGAGGGGGAAAGATAGTGAAAAATGTGGCAGACAATGCAAAGTACTTATGGCTTCTGAGATTTTGTTGATGACAATTTTAGCATACTAATTTATCGTGTGTCAGCCATCTAATTGATCTCTTCACCAGTAAATTCCTCCGGCCATTTCCCTTATGAGTCATCTCAGATTAGTTTCTTCTTCTAGGTTTTTGTTTTTTTTGTGGGAAAAAAGGTAGGAGAGAGGATCATAAGTCGTCAAGTCAAAATTACTTAACACTCACATGAACCTAGAGGAAACAGTGGAATCTAGTTAGGTTTCTAGTCAAGTCGAAAAAGTTTTGTGAGTATAAAATTAGAAGACAAGACAAAAAGGTCTCCATCCAAGATCTTGCCATAATTGATGCCAAAACACTATATACTAGTATACTAGCAGGTGACTAAATACAAAATAAGATTGGAAACCATGCATGGAGATTCGAGGAGGTTTTGTTTGAATTTTTTAAAAATTATTTTGATGTATTAATACTAAAAATAAATAAAAAATATTATTTAGATATATTTTCAAGTTAGCTAATTAATATTAGGTAATCTAAAAATTATAATTTGTGTTATTTGTATGCTTATTATTATGTAAATAGAAAATAAGGAGACTAATTTTATTTAATCAAGAAAGATATAAGCTTCTTCTTTTTTTAATAATATTCGGTGTTTTATTGATTGTTGGGAAAACCATTAAGTTCGTGGGATTTTGAGGTAGAATATTATACCATCAAATAGAATCAACAAAATAAACTTGACTAATTATGCCATATATGAAGCTGACATGAATAAAAATATCTCTGAAACTAACATAATTAACTTTAGTTGTTTGTTCAACCTATGATACCGGTAAACCCCTCTAAATAAATCACCCTTATTGTAAGTAAAATTCATGTCCAATGTCTTCATCCAAAAAGATAATTTTGTAGTATAAAATGAACTATTGTATTCTAGTTAAGAACTTTATCCTAAAAAATCTTCTTGTTTTATCCAGCCAAATACCCCATGAGATTCCGTATGATAGCATGGTCAAGGCTTTGCTTTCAAACTCCCCTTAACACTGAATTCCCAAACGACCTACTCCACTACTTGAGGCATACACCAGTTAAAGCCTGGCTATTTAATAATACATTGCCAAAGCCTCCATGAAAGATGGTGGTGAAGAAATAAGTGTATTGCACATTGAATCTCTAACATTGCAACAAAGACACAAAGCTTGACTCGAATTTATTAGATTCATTTTCCAAAGAAAACCCATTGTGCATAATCTATCATGTAGAAGTAACCATAAAAACATCTTAATCCTAGGAGGAGCGATGCTTATCCATAGCAGTGGAGTGAAGGAAAAAGTACCTAGAAATTCAATGTTATCAATAGTCGTGCTGCAAGATTTAACTGTATACCCTCCTTGTTTATGTGGCTTCCATTGTTTTAAGTTTTCCCTATTTGTATCCATTCTGATCCCATCTATCAAAGTGTAGAGTTGTTGCAGCTCGGATTGTTCTGGAGAGATTAGGCTACGGCTCCAGTTGAGTTTCCACATCCATCCCCTGTTATTATGCTCCCCCATTATTGCTAAATATTCTGATTGAATTGTTGAGATTGTATAGAGAAATGGAAAGCAATCTCTCAAAATACCACATGGCAACCATCTTTCTGTCAAAAAACATGAATTGTGTTGATAATTGAACTAATAGCAGTCCATGTTGGTGATATAGGGTTCTTAAACAGTGGAAGGCCATTGATGCAAGGAGGCCAGTACTACATGTTAGTGATGAGATTCTGCCAACCTCCTTCATTACTATTATCTAGTCTCCAAAGCCACTTAACAAAGCATTGCCTAGTTTTTTCCTTGCAAAGAGCTGCCTATACCCAATCCATTTTTCTTTCTTCCCTTGAAAAGCACTTGCCAAGCTACCTTGCGGGTATTTCTTTCGATAGATACACCAACCCACAAAAATCTTCGTTGTATTGAGGTGATCAACCGAGCTACACCCTTAGGCATGAGAAAGATAGACATGCAATACAATGGAAGAGATGAAAGGACACTTTTGAAGAAGACAGACTCTTCCTCCCATGCTTAGCAGCCTCCCTTTCCCTTTTAGCGATTCTAGTGGAGTACAAGCTTCCATTTTGTTATGCAATTAGAGGATATATTTGTTTCACTAATCATTTGGGTTTCTTATGTGATTAGCTGTGACATGATCTTTGTTTTGGCCCTATGTATAGTAAATAATAAATCATGGATCAAAGTATTTCCTTTTTGTTCTTTCCATGCATATCTTAGATTGCCTCCAAATTTGAAGTACTTTATTTGCTTGACAATTACAATTGTGTTGTTATGAAAATTGTACTTCTCTCATACGTTTGCAGTCATGTTATTCTTTTTTTGGTACTACACTAGCATCTTTTCCCTTGTAAATTATAATTACCACAGGTTCTCCATCAATTTTCAATAGATTTTTTTCTGCCGAAGGTTTCAAATATTAATTTGTGAATGAGCATTGGACATAAGGTTTGGCTACTTTCTTGCATATATAATTAACGTTCCTTTCCCTTTTCTTTTTCACTATACACATCACGACAGCTGTTCAATTGAAGTTGTATAGTTTTGTAAGCATAGTATACTAGCATTCCCATATTTTAAGCAAAAACATGAGCTTCGAAAGGGAACGAGGATGACTCCATATGCCAATTTCATGATTTTAACACATAAAATGTAATTTCTGAAACTTTGGGGAGCTGTCTTTGCTTTATATATATATATAGAGGCACACACGCTGCATTAACAAAATGTAGGGAGGTTGCATGAAACATCAGATCAGTAAAGGGGCTAGAAAAATTTATTCGGACGCGCATCCTGTGTAGCTTGATTTTTTTACGCGAATGTGCTACAAAACATTCTGGTGTTTTTTTTATGGCATTGTTACTGTGATTCAACCAAAATCAGCAGCAGTTTTGGCAGCTTTAACGCGTTTCTATATAAAATTTATGTATTTTTTTGGTGTTTTTTTAATGATTTCAATGTGTTGTCATTAAAAATTAAAAAAATACCTTTATAAATTTTTAAATAAAAAACTATGAGTAAAAAGTAACCTGCACTAAACACAAGTAAATATTTGCCCCCACTTCCTATTTTACACAGGCCTCTCTCCAGGCCGCAAGAGGGGTAGAGCAGCACTGTCTCAATGCTATCATCATTATCCAAATATATAGATCATTGACCTATGTGGGATTTTATGCTTTGATGTTCAAAAACAGAGCATAGAATCTTTCTGCATGACTGATAATCTAGTCAAATTTTCACTGCTGAAATCATCACCCTAAAATAGTGATGGCTTGCTTTAGCACTAGCTAGAATTCTGCAAATGGGTAAATCATTATTTTGCCCTCAAAGTCTCAACAACTTTCCACTTTCATCCCCCAACTTTAACTTTTAATATATATATAACGTTTTGATTGATAGCTGACTTGCAGTCGGAGGAGTGTTAATTCTCTCCAACCTTTTCTATTATTTGATATTCCTCAAAGTTTTTCCTCCGGAACCTCGACTTAGCATGTGCAATTCTATAAATACACTCACAAATCCAGAGACGATTAAGATTTTGAAAAGGCAGTTCTGCTGTTAATTGCCTTCAGCTATTTTTGAAACTCCAGGGATAATATTCAAAAAATCTAAACCATAGACAGAGGTTATAGAACAAGGATTTTATTAGAACAAGGACAATATTCAACGTACACCGTAGTTTGTATGAGTTTTATCCTAGTTTTGTATGGGTTTTATTAAGAAAAAAATAAAAAACTTTGGTTGCAAAAAAGTTTTGATTTATAATTTTTTTAAATTTATTTTTTAAAATCATAACTGTAAGGTTATTATAATATTAAATACATCACGACGATAAATTTCTATATTTTATTTTTGATAGAGTGAATAATCAATTGAATGACGTTCTTTTTTATAAAGAAACATCAATTGAATAATGATAATAGATTTCTCCTTTTTTTTGGTAAAATGAATAATTAATTAAATGATTTAAAAAAAAAAACTCACATGAAACCTATTTAGCCGGTGTTTCGTCATGTGGTGAAATCAATTTTAAAATAAATTATTTTATATTAATTTTTTAAAATAATTATATTATTTTAATATATTTTAAATTAAAAATATTTTAAAAAATAACCACCATCAACGCCCTGAAACACCCCTTGTTCCGGGGTGCTCTTCAGCATCAAATCCTCTCTTTCTTTTAGAATAAGCACAGACAGGCTGTTAATGGTCGAGTGTCTATGAGCCAAGGATAGAGATAAGACGAGTATAATTCAGGCACTTGTTCGGGGGATAGCTGCTACTGTTTGAAAACTCCGG